CGTTTTTAAATATTCTTTCAATTAATTATAATAGTTTTAACGTAATTTAAAAATTTTTAAACAAATATTTTAGAAAGTCATGTTTTAAAATTTTATATTTTCAAAAGGTATAAATAAGTTTGGATAAAATGTTTTAAAAAAATGAATTTTAAACCTTAGAAATATACAAAATTAAATTGTAACAAACCTTTTCCTCCGTGAATTGCAACGGCCTCGACTCCTTTCAATAAAAGATATTCGTGAATGGCGTCGACATCTTGTTTCTTTTCGGCAAATATAAGAACGGGTGGATGAGTTTTTTGTAAACATTCCAAGAGATAGACAATTTTGGCTTCTTGTTTAACATATTCCACTTCTTGAATGACATTCATAGATGCAGCACCTGCACGTCCCACATTTATGGTCACTGGCTTTACCAATGCGGAACGGGCAAAGTTTTGAATCTTTTTTGGCATTGTTGCAGAGAAAAGCAATGTTTGCCTTTGACCCTAAAAGAAGTGCAAATTTTATCTAATATAAACATATTATCATAATTAATTATATTTATTTTATATAAACGATAATGATTTTCATAATAATAAATAATAAAATATTATTAATAATAATAATAATTAAATTAATGACTAGTTTATTAAAAAATACATACTCGAAAGAAGGAGAAAATTGTTCGCACATCCTCTTCGAATCCCATGTCAATCATACGATCAGCTTCATCCATACAAAGATATCGACAAACGCTCAATTTTACCATTTTTTTATCCAACATATCCATTAAACGACCTGGTGTTGCGACCATTATGTGAACACCTCTGTAAACAAATTTAAAAAATTTTTAATTACAAAAATTGAAAACTAAATTTATAAATTAGAAAACAAATAAAAAAAGAAAAAACGACAAACGAAATGAAAGAGAAGAAACAGTTGTAATAAGCAAAATTAAATTATAAACGTGTGGAAATTAATTTTATTCAAAATTTAGAAATCTAACTTACTTGTTGATAACTTCTAAAGATTCGGAAACAGGAACTCCTCCAATAGCGAGACACGAGCGAATTTCAGGACAATTTGCCTGTCTCAAACTCTGTGTATAATGTTGAATGATATCGAAAGTTTGCTTCGCCAATTCACGAGAGGGACAGATAATAAGTCCTGTAAAATAAAAATGAAAAGAAAAAAAATAAAATTCCAAGACTTTTCCAGGTTAAAAATTTTTTTTCCAAGTACTATTTTAATAAATTTTAATGACAAATATACATTAAATGTACAAAATTAAATTATTTTTAATCTTTTTTCACTATAAACTATTAATGAATACATTTAAATTTTGGTATTTTTAGGCCTTGGATCGAATTTAAAGGAAGAAGAAAGACGTTTTAATCGAAATACATTATAAGATAAATCGAGAAAGTTGATTTCTTATTTTTAATAAATGCAATTAGATAATAAATATTTTATTATTATTAGGGCAAACAATTGTTATTTGACATTAAATAAATTTTATTAATTCTCTAATCTGATTTCTACAAATTATTTGAATTCAGAAGTTTAGAAAATGTTTTAAATAATTAAATTTTCGAAGAACTCAATTAAAGTATTATTGAAAAATATGAATTTAGAAAAAATTTAAAAAATAATTGAAATTTGAAAAAGCAGTTAACATTTATAAAAGTAATTTAATTTTTAAAAATTTAAAGTTAAAATTTTTAGAAATAATTGAATTTCAGGAGATTTTAAATCGAAACTTTCATTTGAAAAATATTTTAAATAATAGAATTTTTTAAGAATTTGATTAAAATTATTGAATATTATCATCATATTGCGAAGAATTCTAGTTAATATTCATTTAATAATTCAGTTTTGGATGATGAAAATTTTATACTTAAAAAGTCGGTTTTTGTTTAAAAAAATGTTTTTAAAAAAGTCGAAAAAGTCATATATTTTACTAAAATGAATCGAAAATAGTCGCATGCATTGAAAAAAGTCATAAAAGTCGAAAGTATTTTTTATTTTACCAAATTTCGTGTTTTCAAATGCGGTTGGAAAAAATATTTTTTTCACGAAATGGTAAATTTCAGGACTCAATAAAAAATTCAAGAACTTTTCCAGGTTTTTTAAAAAAATTTCATCAACTATCCATCAGATAATTCAGATAATTTCCAAATGAATTGATCGATATAATAGTTATTAAATTATTTCATACCGTAAGGTCCTTCATTTCTTCCAAACGGTATGGCAGTCTCCTGTTCCAAACAGAACATAATGAGAGGAAGAACAAATACAAGAGTTTTACCACTGCCCGTAAACGCTATTCCAATCATGTCACGGCCTGATAATCTATAAAAAAAAAAAAAAAATCATAAAAATAATTATTACCGTCGACAGGGGTAATTATGGAACGCGCAATTCTTTTTTATAGTAAATTATTTCGATTTGATTCTTTTTTTAAATAATAATTTAGTATTTTGCCTATAAAGTAACTCAAATGTTTTTATTTTTATTGTCACTGGAAACGAAAAAAAAAATTGTCCAGCTTCAAAAAAAGTGAAAAGATTATTTCAAAAAACTAAAAAGTGTGAAAATATATTAATTTTTCCGAATTCAATAAAAGTTTTTAAAAGATACTAATGGTAACTATAGTTTATTTGATTGTGAAAATATTCGCGTTTAGTTTATTTTAAAGAAAAACGCATAAAGCTAAAAAACCTAGATTCTCTAAGTAATTATAAGACAAAAAAAATGCTTATTAACCAAAAATTTACTCTATAACGAGTATAGAACATTTTACTGATTTGTTTTTGTACTTTTCCCTGTTGACGGTATTATAATAATAATAGATAATAATTATTATTTAGATTTTAATTTCTTACACTGTAGGAATGCCTTGAACTTGAATTGGAGTTGGTTTAATAATTCTTTTGTGCTCTAAACCATTTAAAATTCCACGATGAAATTTCATTTCCTTAAAACTTTTTAACGGTGGAGGTACATCTTCGCCTTCGACTAAAATTCGAAGTTTCTGTCGAATTCTTTCGTGACGAATTTCACCAAGATGTATTATACCTCTTGGTGGTCTCCAACTTGTTTTTATTGGATCCTCATATTGAATACCTTTAGCTAATTCCGCCACTCCCATAAGTGCTTTATTTTCAGCTACACTCTCCAAAATTTTTTCTTCTTCTTTCAATTGTCTTTCCAATGCACTTTCTTTCTTGGCTATATTAGAGAGAAACGAAAATTAAATGTATTTCTTTATTAAAATAATATTTTTTTTTTGATAAAATTAAAATTATTTCTTATCGTAAAATACTAGATTTTATAATCATTTTCAATTATTTTTTTTCAAAAAAAAGAACGTACCTTCGGCTAATTTTTTTAATTCAGTGTGCTGATCGAGAAGTGATTTATTGGATCGACGTGTCCAAAAAAGTTGATTGTCACCTTCGTCATCGTCTTTTTCATTTTCACTGCTACTTTTACCACCACCAGCCGATGATGCTTCATCTTTTAATTGTCCAAGTCTTCCAAGTTTTGTAAGTTGTTGTTGTTTACGAATTTTTACAGGGACATAAGGAACATAATTGTCATCAGAATCGGAGCCGCTATTTTCTTCAATATTTCTTCGATATTTCTAAAATTTGAAGAATTAAAATTATATTTAGAAAAAAAAAATTTAATTGATTAAAATAATCGGTTACTTAACTATTATCAAGTAAATATTTACTTGTATTAAATAATTATTATTTGTGTCAATTAAATTGTATTTGTTTCAAATACAGAAATTATTGGTTCAAATATAATTTATTTTGTTTCAAATAAAAATTATTTGATTCAAGTAAATATTTATTTGATAATAGTCAAGTAAATTATTTGAATCAAATAATTTTTTTTTTTCAATGTAGCTATATATTTTGTTTCCTACCGATTTTCTTAATTTTAGAATTTCCTAAATCTATTAATGTTTACTAATTTCCTAATGATTTTAATATTTTGCAATTTTTTATTTGTGTAGTAAAAAAAATAGTAACTGTTATTATTTTTATGAAGTTTTTTTTTTTTAAATTTCCTTAATTAATAAATTAACAATATAGTATTTAAATAATAATTAAACTCATCACGTTTTTTCTTATCTTGCAATTTAGGTTATCTTAATGCAGTAGTTTTATTCGCATTAAAAAATTAGTTAATGTTGTTACTTTAATCAAGTTTTAAAGTTCGCAGGCAATAATTGTGTATTAAAAAGTTTTGTTTTTTCTAATTGCAAAAATTTTTTGGACTTATTAGAAAATGAAAACATTTTTTTCACTTCTTTTTCCAAAATCCACATTTTTTTTGAACTTTTAAAAAAATTATTATTTCACAAATAGAATTAATTGTTTAAGTTAAAATTGTAAAAAAAGCTAATTTTTTTTGGATTACACATTTCTATAAAATATAATAAATACATATATATATAATTATGTATATGCAACAATTATAAAGTGTATTCGCATAAAAATGAAAACAAACGTTTTGTTTTAATAGTCAATGAACTTAATTTTGAACATAAATGAATGAATTTTAATTATCAAATACCTTTATTGGAACTTCTTTTTCATGTTGACTCATTTTATTTATGAAATTAGTGATTTATTCTTAATAAACAATTAAAGAACGTTTTTGACATCTGACATGTCAATGTTATTGTTATTTTTTAGGTTATGTTTACCAAATCGCTGTTCCAAGTTCGACAATCGATAATTTGGCAACACTGACTTCGATATATATTAACTACAAATATTTTTTAAAAATATTTATTTTTTTATTCTATATATATATATATATCATAAAATTGTTCACAGTAAATATTTTAAATACAAATTAGGAATAAATTTTATTAGCAATTAAATTAAAAGAAAAAAAAAAATATATAAAAATTCGAAAGTAATAAAATAAATTGTTTCGTTACTAACTTCAGAGTATCTGCTATCGTTATGTTTATTATAACCTAACCTGTAAAGCTAACCAAACTTCATTTGCTCACTTGCGCTCTCACGTTGAGATTATCGGTTGTTGATTTTAAATAATATGTCTCATGTTTAATTAAATTACGATAAATCAGAATTAAGTCTTAAAGGAAATGACTGTGTTAAGATTCTGAATTAATTTAATAATTTACCAAAATGACAAGTGATAAAAGTCTGACTAGTAGTAATCTTAAAAATAGGAAGGAAAAACAAGAAGATGTTGGATCCATGTATGAACAGGAATCTAAATTACGTTCCGGTACTGATAGTTTTTTCAATATTAATGAAAAACCAGTAGACGACATTTCTATTGAATTCTTTTATAAACCACATACTATCACTTTACTTCTTCTGTCAATTGGAGCTGTTATTTATTTCGCTTTTGTCAGGTAAGAGAAAAAAAATGATGTAATCAGCCTTAACATTGAGTTACTTGCAATTGTCTTTGTACTCTTAAAACAATGAGTTCAAGTATATTTTTAGTAAAAAGAATTTCAAATGGTGTGATCAGCATACACATTGTAATAGATATGCTTTTGTTCCTTATACAATGTTTTGCAATCACTTTGTGACATAGATAAAAAAAAAGTAATGAAAATTTAGATTACAATGAGCCGTAAAAATTTATAAATTTTCTACATATATTTATATATGAAATCTGATTTAATTGAAAATTAAATTAAAAATGTTTATTTTTTTTAATTGTCAATTTGTGTATTTAGATGTTATTATAATTCTCATTCAATATAATTCATAAAATTCTAAATTTCAAATGTGTAACATATTTTTATATTAATTCATAGAAAATATATTTGTCACGATTCAATTTTTTTTTAATAATTAATTCTTTTAAAAAAATGTTATTAAACTAAATCGATTGACCTGTATAAAGTATTTATAAAATCGATGGCTATATTTAATTTTTAAAAAAATTTATTTTTAATGGGAATGACTCTTGATTGGAATCTTTTTAATCTGACCCCTATGAGGAAGCAAAATATTCATGAAATGAACCTTGATCTTTCTAATATTTACTGTGTCGTTTCTTTTTATTTTTAACATCAATTTTTTTCATTCATTTTACTGAAATAATTGCTCCGATTTTTTTTTGTACTAAATGCAAAGTAGTAAACATTTTTAATTTTCACTCCAAACATATAATTTTTTATGCATTTCAAATTATAATTCATTAAATTATCGAATTTTGTCATTTCATTAAATTATCACATATGAAATATTATTATGAGCCAAAAGTTTTGAACGAAATATGTTTTGCTACTTCTTTAAGTACAAATTTTATTACAAAATATTGTTTAAAATATCTAAAAAGAAGTTATTAATTTAATAATTGTTTAATTTACTGTTTTATTTTACATGGTCATCATAATTTTTAATAATTTTTAGATTGAAAAAAATATTTCGTTCATATGAACGTTCAGGACTTTCGGCTCATATATTATTTAATTTCATAAAAAAAAAAAAATGTCATTTTTCTCTCAAATGTCGATTAATCAGAATAGAGTATTTAATGTTTAAAATATCGGACATTCAGACAGTGAACGAGAAACCTGTTATTAAAAACGATAATAAATGGCATGCTGACGTAATAAAATATATTTACAGAAACAAATATAGTAAAAATTCTGTACTTTGTTACTGTTAAAGTAGCTGTAATAATTTTATACGTTAAGTTTGAATAATTATGTTTATGATAAGATTAATAATAAATTTTTTTATCGTTTAAAGAATATTTTAAATATCCTTCGCGAAAAAAAATAGTATAGTTTATATTGTTTAGTACTTTTTAAACGTAAGACAATTTAAAATGAATATTAAAAAGTCTTTATCAAAGTTTAGTATAATGTTAATTTATTTTTCTATTTACCAGTGAAAGTGAAATAAATATTATGTTACAAGGGAATTATAAAATATTAAAAATACACGATTTGAAAATTTGGAATTATAGAAATTATGCAATATGAGAATTAAAATTGTACGGGAAATATGTAAATTGACAATTAAAGGAAAAAATATCGAAATTTGATAACCTAGTCATTCGTATATTTAAATTGTCGAACAAATGGAATTTCAGATAAAGTGAGTTTATAAATTTTTAATGGTATTGTACTAATTTTAGCAACAATGAACAAATATGTACAAAAAAAAACAACAATTATCTTACACTTGTGAGAGATTTCTTAAATATCGAATTCACATGTTTCATTGATTCTTTTCGCAAATTAATATTTTTAATTTATTTTCAAAAATTTCAATTATTAAGATTCTAAAGGCAAAAAATTCTGATCCCATCCACAATTTATCCAACAAAAAATGTCAAAAATCTATTTATTTCAACACTTTTTGTAAAATTGTACAAAATTTTTGATTTTATCATAAATTTCAGTTTATCTTTAAAAAATTTTTAATTTTAAAAAATCATTTTCATAAATTAAACTTGAAAAACTTTAAAGCAAAAAGAAAATACATTTTTTAAAAATATTTGTTTTAATTAATTTAGGCTGGAAATTTTACCGAAAAATTATTCTTACTTGAGAATTATAAAATTTATTTAGTATTTTCTAGCAATAGTTAAAAATGAATGAATAAAAGTAATAATAAAGTTTGTTTCTAACTATAATTAAATTTATAAACAATTAAAAATGTCGACTTTTGTTTATAATGTAATGCGACTAGAGCAACTTTTTTTAAATTTAATTTCGATCCGAGGCCCGATATTACAATAAATTATTTAATTTATCAAATAAGGAGTAAATTTAAATAATTCAAATATAACAAAATACAAATAATTAACATAAAAATAATTATAAAAAGATTAAAATTAAAATTAGATAAAATGAACATAAGACATTAAATTCTAATTTTGCTTTTGATACTTTTGTAAAGAACATTAGTTTTCAATTTTAATTTTCAAATAGAATTTTTGAAGGCTTTTGTAATGAACTTTTCAACATTAAACTAAAGTTTTTTCAAAATAAAATTTTTAACCCCCTTTTTCTCAAAATTAACTCTTATTTTTCAATTTTGATTCATTTGGGATTTAATTTATTTATTTCTAATTTATTTATTTATTTTATTTATTTATTTTTTTATTTATTTCCATTTTCTTTCGAAAAATAAGGTTTTTTTTCAATAAATTATGTAAATATAAAAGTAGGACAACAATCGATTTTCGAGAAAATGTAAAAATCAGGGTTCAAAAATTGTTTTTTTTTTGTAAGTTGTCACTTTTATCATGCTGAAATCAGCAACGTTTTTAAAACGAAAACAAAAAAATAATTAGACAATATTAATTACTTTGGTTTAAAATTAAAGTTATTCGGGAGTAGCTGGTTTTTATACATATATAAAACTATTAATTTCTTGAAAGTTTGTGCAAATCAAAATTAAAGATAAATTTGACTTGAAAAAATAATTCTATTTTAATTTTTCGTTTTTGAAAATGTTGCGGACTTCAGCCTCATGTCACTTTTTTATTTCGATTTGACAAAAAACGATTTCAAATAATTTCAAAGTGAACTTCCTTAGAAATTTAAATTCATTGGTAGGAATTCAAATTTAAAAAAAAATGTTTAGAAATTGAACTTTTTGAGAAAAAAATTAGAATTTGAACTTTGTTAGAAAAATAAATTTTAGAAAAATGAAAATTAAAAATATATTTTTTAGAAAAAAAATATACCCCATCTATTTTTGTTTTTACTTTTTTTCGAAAACCGATTGTTCATATTTGTACATTTCATGAGAAAAATTCTCTGCTTTTCAATGAAAATAAAGAAATTTTTTTTTAAAATACCCAAATTGGTTAAAACTGAAAAATAAGGTTTAATTTTACGATGCTAAAGTTCACAAACGTTTATGTTCAACGATTTTTAAAGAAATATTTCCTTAAATGAAAATTTTTATAAATTTTTGTCACAAAGATATTTCTTTCAATATTTATCGATGAAAAAATTATAAAAAAGATTTTTTTATAGATAGAAAATTTTTTATAATTTTCCGTTTTAAAAAATAATTTGTTTTCTAATCGTTGATGATAAACGTTGTGGACTTCAGTATTGTTTAATTTTAAGAAAAAGAGGATTAGAATTTTTTTTTTTTAATATTTTTTTTTTTCATAAAAAAGAAAAATTATTCTAAAAAACCATATATGAAAAAATGGATTTTCGACAACAATTTACTAAAGTATCATTAAGCCAATCAAAGAATTTTTAATTTCTACTTGGGGCAATTGAGGAATCAAGCTCTATATCAAATTTTGTAGAATTATGATTTGATAAAATTTTATTCTGTAGAATATTAATTTTGCAAAATAATTATTTGTTCGAATATTAATGTTTTAGAAAATGCAAATGGTCGAATATCAAAATTTGACAGAATTTTTTATTTAGACAAAAATTAATTTTACAGAAATTTAATTTGATCGAATTATTGAATTCAATTTTCTTGTTGAATATTAATTTGGCAGAATTGTAATTTAAAAGAATCGTAATTTTGCAGAAAGAGGATTAGAAATAATATTTATTTTGCAGAATATTCACTTGCTCGAATATAAATATTCCCGAAAATTAAAAAGGTCGAATATCAATTTGTCAAAAATAATTCGGCGGAAACTTCAAATTTCTTTCAAATTAATTTTCGTTTAAATAAAAATTTTGTCAAATTGATTTTCGACCATTTTCTAAAACATTAATATTTCAAACAAATATAAATATTCTGCAAAATTAATATTCTACAGAATAAGATTCTATTAAATCATAATTCTAAAAAAAAATTTTTTTTAGAGTTTATTCATGCATCGCGAGGAACCTCCCATATGTATAAAAAATAAAATGAACATTTATTTTTCTGATTGGAAATTTTTTTTGCTTTGTAATATAGAGATACTACCAATGTAGAGGACAACTTATGGGCTGGATTATTATGTGTCATCTTCTTTTTTCTAATAATCTCAGTTCTAACATTTCCAAATGGACCGTTTACACGACCGCATCCAGTTGTTTGGCGAATTGTATTTGGATGCAGTGTACTTTATTTAATGGCCCTATTATTCATGTTATTCCAAAGTTATGAGACAGTGCGAAATATATTTGTATGGATTGAGCCAGGCCTCTCGTCATTTCATATTGATATGGATAAGGAATATGGTGTTAATTGTTCCGATATAACATTGGAAAAAATTTACAATCATTTGGATGTATTTGCAGTGGCACATTTTCTTGGCTGGGCATTTAAAGCAATTCTTATACGACATTTTGGTATATTGTGGGCAATAAGTGTGATGTGGGAGGTCACTGAGATTGCGTTTGCTCATTTGTTGCCAAATTTTTTGGAATGCTGGTGGGACGCTTTTATTCTTGATGTTTTAATATGTAATGGTTTAGGTATTTGGGTTGGTTTAAAAATTTGTCGTATTCTTGAAATGAGAGAATATAAATGGGTCAGTATTCGTGATATTGAAAGTACAACGGGGAAATTAAAAAGGGCTGTTCTTCAATTTACACCTGTAAGTTGGACATCAGTGAGATGGTTAGATCCAACGTGTACGCATATGAGGTTTGTTGCACTTGTTCAACTTGTTATATTTTGGCAAGTTTCAGAACTCAATACCTTTTTTTTGAAACATGTGTACGAATTTCCACCATCGCATCCATTTGTCGTTACAAGATTGGTCTTGATTGGCGTTATTGTCGCTCCTTCAGTAAAGTAAGTATTTCTTTTTTTATTTTTCGTTTAACGAGTCATAGAAATTATTTATAAATAAAAAAAAAAATAGTTAAATTAATAATAATTATTCATGAAACTATTTTTTCATTTTCATTTTTTCCTTCAAATATTAAAAAAAAAAATCATTAAACTTTTTTTGTACTTAGTTTTTTTAATGATTCTTCAGAATTTTTTAAATGAATTTTCGAAAAATAAAAATTATTAAATAGTCAAAAACTAGTTCAACCGTTAAAATTTGATATATTGAATAATTTCAAAATTGTTTAACTCAATGGACCAAAAATTGTGATTCAAATTTGAACCTAGGTCCTTTTTTAGATCCGAAATCTCAATTGTAAAAAAATAGACGATTAAAAATGATAATTTTATTATTCCAGTCAATATTATACGTACGTGACAGATCCGGCTTGTCATCGTGTTGGAACTCAATGTTGGGTTTATGGAGCTATTATGGTTACGGAGGCATTACTTTGCATTCGACATGGTGCAGCACTTTTTGAACGTACTCAAGCTTTAAATATTCTTCTATGGCTATTATGTCAATCTCTAGTCTCAGTACTTTGTGTATATGGATGCGTTTTGTGGCAAAAATATTTTGCGGTAATATTTTAATTTTCTTTATATTGTGACTAATTGTTTTTTTAAAATTTTAAATATAAATTTTAATTTCCCTATAAAATAATAATAATAATAATAATAATATTAATAATGATAATAATAATATTAATAGTAATAATAATAATAATAATAATAATAATAAATGAATAAATGATAATATCTAATATTTATCGTTCTAGACGGATAAACTAAACACTCCTGATCAGGACAAAAACCTCGCAGACGCTAATCTCTGCCGTGGTACGTCCTTGATTAATCAATTAACTTTTTTTTTTTTCATGTTCCATTATAATTAACGCACACATGGATTTATATTCACTTTAATTTAATATGAAATGACACAATTAAAAATAAAAATTATAATTCTTATGAATTTTTGTTTTTGCAATATACTTTCGCTTTCGAAAGAGTAATAATTTTAATAATAATAATTTATAATTAATTTTAGGAGAGCTGGAAAGTGATGACCGATCTTTGGATCTCGAAGGGAAAAAAGAGAATTAAAGACTCGTGTAAATAAAGATTATCGCTTACAAAGAAGAGCAAAAAAAAAAAAAACTACCAGGCTTTCTAGTCGTTTAAGAGCTAATAAAATAAAAAATTTTCTATTGATTTCAATTTAATAAAAAAAAAAAAAATATCCTGACTTCGCACGATAGTTGAATGTTTTTCATTAAGAAAAATGGTTCAATATTATAAAATATTTAATATTATCATATTAAAGATAAGAAGTACCTGTGTGACCGTGAAAAAAATTCCAAACTTGTAAAATTAAATTTTTTTTCTACAAACATGTTTTTACGTTTAATTAATTTAAAGGAGTTTTAAAATACAAAAACTACTATTGTCTTTAAGGGGGAAACAAATAAAGGACTTCTCTCCTTTGTTTTCAGAGGAATTTACTAGTGCCAATATTATAAAATGTAAGATTTGTTTCAAATCAAGAAAATCGTTCGAAGTCAGTGACATGTATAAATTAGTTTGAAATTGAAAATATTGCCAAACGAATTTAAAAAAAAATGTGTCACTTTATAAAGTGAGAATCTAATAATAAAAGAAACATTTAGAATTCTAATGAAACACATTGGTTTATAATCGATTTTAAAAAATAGCAATTAATATCCAAAATCTTGTTACCAAGGAATAAAAATACAGAAACTTTTTAGTCTTATAAATTTGTACGGGGAAAAACATTCTTTAATATTGAAGTTTTTATTCTTATCATTTACTTCTATTATCATTTATTTTAGATAAGCGTAAATGAAAATTTAATAGTGTTTGTGTAATGTCCAGTTCAAACGTTGAACTAATTTATCGATAATGACAAGTATGGCTGTAAAGTTAGTAAATTTGAGATAGATGAACGCGCTAAGTTATTATTTAAATTGAGAAATTTTAACTAATTTAGAAAATTCAGATTTAATGCAAGAAAAAAAAAAGACAAGAATAATTTAACACGAGACGAGTTTGTATTTATATATAAAGAACGAACGTATAAAAAATAGAATTTAAATAAAATGAAATCTCAATTAAGTATTGTAATATAGTTTTCAATTTTCGTTGTATAAAACAAGGAATATTGAATTGAAATTTTTCCTTCCGTGTCAATTTTTCATTATTTCTCTATTTTTTCAAATTACTTCTTTTCAACTATATTTAAATTATTTTTCTCCTTAATTTATAAAAATAGAAAATTAATTTCAATTATTTTTCATAACTTTACGTATATCACACTTATTCTCAAGAATATTACTATAAAAAATAATTCAGCCGTTTTTTTTTTTACGTCAATATGTACTCTAATTATTATGAATAATTTTATATAAAAAAAAGCTCAGGTCTATTTTTAGAATTATTTGTATTTTAATTTAACAAGTCATAAATAAAAAGCAATTATCTTAAAATGATACGATGCTAATTTAAATATTGCGATTCCACCAATATGTATATGTATATATAATATTCGAAGCTAAATGACTGTGCAAGGATTTTATCCAAAATATCAATAAACACAATTCATTTACATGATTAAAATTATATATTGGTTGTCAATAAGTTAATAAAATAAGTATTTGATTATAAATATAAACAGTGTGTGTGAAAAGTCAAAATGGTTTGTGATATTAAGAAAAAAATTGTACCGAAGATTTTCTTTTTTTAATTAACTCAAAGAATTTAAAATCTTTACGATAATTATCACCATCGACAGTCTGTTAATAGATTGAAATTCTGAAATTTGATTTTTTTTTAAAAAGAAAATCTTTATCAGATTTTTGAAATCTTTAATTCATAGAATTTATGCCTATAATAAAAACTGTCGTTAATAAATTGTTGTTATGATTATTACAGGCCTCGGATCGACTTTTAGGCTGCAAAAAAGTAGATTTTTTTTATTTTAATTCCATTTTTTAAATTTTTTGAAGTTTGATTTAAGCAATTTATTTGAATTTAAAATTTTGGCATAGTTTTTAGTTTTAATGGTAAACAAAAATTTCCGGCACTAAATAAGTTTTACAGATTTTTAAATTAATTTTTTTTAATTACTTGAATTGCATAAGATTTAAAATTTTAAATAAATCTTTTTCAAAATTTAAACTGCTGTATTTTTTTAAATTTCTTACAATTCAATTTTAAAGTTTTTATTTGAAACTTTTTTAAATTATTGAGGTTTAGAAAGAATATTAAAATAATTAAAAATAATAATTAAATTTTACAAAATTAAAAATAATTTATCAAATAATAGATAAATTTTTTTTTTTTTTGAAAATAATTGAGTTTTCGAAGATTTATAATTCAGATTTTTGAAAATAATTGAACTTAAAGTAATTTTTAATTGAAATTTTTGGTAATCTCATTTGCTGATGAATTTATTAGTAATTAAATAGTAATTTATAAGTAATTAAAAAATTTTAATTAAAAATTACTTTCAGATAATTGAATTTTTAAAGAATATTGTAAAAAGCATTAAAAATTTTGAGAATTAATCAAATTTCAGGAGATTTTTAATTGAAAATTTTGTAAATTTGAATTCCTAACGACTTTTTTTATAAGAATTTTTGACAATAATTGAATTTTAGAGAAGTTTTGATTGAAAAATAATAAAATATTTTAAATAATTGAATTTTGAAGTTACATTTGAAATTTTTAGAAATATGTATTAATTTTAAAAAACAATGTTTTCAATTTTAAATAATTAATTTTCATAGAATTGAAAATAATTTATTAAATAATTTCAGAATAATCTTTTTTTTTTTGAATATCATGTGATTTTGAATTGTATTTTTTGGTAATTTAAAGAAGAATTTTAGTTAAAATTTTTTTTAAATAATTAAAATAAAGAAAATCTTAATTGTATACTAAAAAAGACGTATTTCGTTTAAAAATTGTGTAAAAATTTTTTTAAAAAAATTCAAAAAAGTCGTATCTTATTAAAGTAGAAAAAATTCTGAAAAAGTCGTATTATCCGAGGCCTGTTATTATTGATAAAAATAATAATTTGTAATGAAACCAAGCGAAAAGTGACAAGTAGACTTAGATATTTATTGACTTAATAGAATGTACATCTTGCTTAAACTTCCATTCTGCACCAACATTATATAAATTGAAAGTGATGCAATGAAGTTTAATTTAAAGTACACATAAAACTTTGAAATAAATCTATAGAATTATATAAGAATTATGCTGTTGTATCCTTAAATATAAAGCGCGAAATTCACTAAAATTTTAGAGATAATTCTTTTTTTTTTTTGAGTAAAAAAGCCTGAAATAATATTATAAGTTACTTACATTTGTAATATTTTATAATACAATTATCACAGATATGTAAACTACATGTACCGTATGCTATTATAAAATGCATAAATTTGCACTTATATAATTAGCGAATGATCCCATTGCACACACTAACAAAGATTTATGAAAATCTCTACACTTTACAAATTAATTGAATTCTATTCTTTAGAAAATTAATTAAAATTCTACTCTTTACAAATTAATTAAATTAAATGATTAAAAAAAATATATATAATATATATATATATATATATATACTTAAATTTCAAGAAAAAGTCTCCTATTTGCTTTCATCGTGAGAATTATTTGTATCAAGTTCCTCTCTCACGGACATTTTTAAATAAGCTATAAATTCGGAATCTGAATCTTCGGGTGTTAATTCCATTTCTTTTTCAAATGAATTACACGAAGATTCGTCTATTAATATTTCACCATCACCATTAATTTCCACGAAATTATTCATTATATTATCATCACAATCCTCGATCTCTTCCAATTCGTCTAGCTTTTGATTTTTAGTTTTATTGTGTGCAATTTTAGAATTTGATTTTCTTTTAGATATTGTTTTTCGTGTTTTTGTATTTTTAATTCCTTTAGTTGCAATTTTTGAATTTTCTTCAATTATTGGCTCACAACTGTGATTCAAAAGTTGTTCAGGCGTTCTGAATTCCTGCAATTAATTGAAAATTAAAATATAATAATTTTTATTTTATCAAAATTATTATATATATATTTTTTTTTAAATTTTATATTACACTTACCAATGAGCAGACTTCACATTTTAAACAATGTTTATAAAGTTCATGATGTTTGTGTGCTTGTGGCCTATGAAAATTTTTGTCACAAAGATTACATCTAAATGTTTTAATATCGCTGTGCGTAAGTACATGCCTTTTTAATTTATCAGGACGAGAAAATTCCCTCATGCAGCCAACGTAATTTCGATAGGGACACTTTAATCTTTTTGTTAAATCATGTATTAACATATGACGACGGAGTCGATCTTTCCTTTTAAATTTCGATGGACAATACTAGAAAAAAAAAATGAATTTTTTAAATTTGTTTCAATTATTTTATGGAATTTAATAAATTTTCTCCAACTTTTCGAAATTAAAATAATTTCCTCTTCGGGGAGTTTAATAATATAAACAAAATAATTACAAACAAAGATATTTAAAAAAAAATTAAAAATGAAAAGTAAAAATAAAAAACTAACAATATAATTGACAAACAATATACGTAAAACCAAAATTTTGACGAAAATATTTTTACAGTAAAACAATAAATAATAATAAATTATAAAAAAATTTACATTAAAATGTTTGCTTCTTTTTCCAAATTATAGAAATAATTACTTAAAAAAAATTTTAATGCAGCAATTAAATTCACTACGATAGCAATTTAAAAAAAAATGAACTTATTTAAAAATACTTACCGAACAAATATAAGGTGTTTCATCATTGTGAATAAGTTTATGATTCGTCAAATACTGTTCAGTCTTAAAAGCCTTTCCACAGTCTTCACAAATGAAACGTGATTGCGCGGCATGTGTTTTTAAATGACGTCTCAAAAATCTCTCAACATAAAAACTCTTTCCACAATGTGGACATGCATAATCGTGCGTTGTTGTTTCCATATGATGATTTAATGATTCCAAATTGGAAAATGATGATTTACAAATTGAACAACAATAATATTTCTCTGTTGTTTTTTGTTTACGGACGGTGTGACTATATTGATGACTACCCAAATCAGATAGTGTATTAAAAACTTTACCGCACACATGACATCGATATTCTGAACGTTTATGGCTGCGTGTGTGTTCTAAAAAATCATCTAATTCTTGAAACATTAAACTACATCCAAGCTGTACACATTTGTATACTTTCAATGTCAAATGTGAAACTATTAAATGCGCCTTTAATGCTTTGTACGAATCGAATATCTCCTTACAAAATTGACAATGATAAGTCTTGTCAATACTGCCATCGGTTGGAGCCTGAAATAAAAAAAAATAATATAAAATTATTTGCTAAATAATTGTCCAATTAAATTGGACAATATGAAGGTAAAATTATTTATTACTTCAGGTGGAAGGGAATGTATAGCCGTGCCAGGCCACACTTTGTGCGAAGACATGTGTTTCTTAACATTAGATTTCTGTGCAAAGGAACGACCACAAACAACACATTGATATGGTTTTTCACCGGTGTGTGAACGCTCATGTTGTTGCCAATAAAATTTTTTGGAAAATTGCTTTTCACAAAAATCGCATTTGTACTGAAAAAAGAAAATTAAAAGATTAAATAAAATATTATACAAAGGAAAAAATAATCGAATAATTGATTATCATTCAACCTTTAGATTTTGTGTTGGTTGATTTTCTTGCTCAGATGAATGTTTTTTCTCCTTATCATTTGGATTAATAATGTGTATTTCATCTGTAAAATTATGATAAATATTTGAAGTTGTAAAATCTTCATTTTGACAATTTTTATCTTCCAATGACTGTATATTATGCACTTTCACACTTATAGACTCAGTATCTGAATTAACTGATGGATTTCCAAATGAATCTATACTCTCAGTGTTTAAAATAATTGGAACATTAAATCCAGAATCAGATGGTAAATAACTCGAGCCCTCTTGATCCATGCTGTAAAAATAAAATGAGCACAATTAATTTATTCAAAAAAAAAAAAAAAAAATAATTAAATTTCATACAGGGTTGCCAGGCTTTTACTATCATAAAATTTTTTTAACTTTTCCAGATTTTCCAGGAGAAAAAACAGTATTTTTATTTTAAATCAAAGAATCGTTTACATTAAAAATTTTCAAACATTTTTTGAAACTTATTTTCATTATATTTTTTACATTAAATTTTATATATTTTGTAAGGTTTAAATTTCATTTTTTTAACCTATTGGCGAATATTCCATTGACATTTTATCCAAAGTTATTTATTTTTTAAGGATAACAAAATAAAATTATTATAAATTATGTTAATAGAATATTAAAAAATTTATCGATTGATTAGTGAAATTTTACTATAAATTATTACAAAATTATTGACATTTCAAAAATCAAAATAGGGTAAATGCACTAATTGCGGCGAGATTCGAGTCAAAACACCTTTGAAATAGAAAATTCGACATTTCTATTGTATAAACTCAATTTAAGACTTATTAAACTTAAAGCTTATGTTATTAAGATATTAAAAAAAAATTTTAACTCTATAAAAATCGATTATTTAAACAAATATGAGAAATTAAAACTAATACCGTAATTTTCTATTGCGGCGAGTTTGTATCAGTTTCGGTGTATCAATTTCGGTGACCAAAATTACGTGTATTTTGAAGATACTTTGCCCGCCGAAATTGAAGCCAATGGAAATCTTAAAAATGTTTCAATTGCGGCGCGGAAAAAAATTTGATCTCAAATAATTAAATTAATAATTGTTTAAATGTGCATCTTTATAAGTATTTGTATCAAAAAAAGATTGAAATAATTTTTTTTAATCATTTGGTAACAGTTATATTAAATATAATAGTAATAATAGTTATTTTTTATGAACGCGCCGTAATTGGTGCACTCGCCGTAATTAGTACACTTACCCTATTTTAAAAAATATTTATTTTTGAATAATTTTAGTTTAATATTTTTATAAAAGTTCTGATATATTTTTAAAAACAGTTTTAGTTATTTAAACGGTATTTACAAATTTTCTTACTGTATTCTAAGTTTTTTAAGCAATATTCATAATTTTTTTTTTAAGTGATAGGGAACATATTATTGAATGAAACGAAAATAAAAGTAATAATATTTACGCAAAATTATAAACAATTATAAATAAATAATTGTCCAAAATCTAATTATTTTGCGGGAAAAAAATTCAATACCGAACATTTAGGTAAAAATTGAAACGATATTTCGTACTCGGGGGTTTTCTCGGTTGCTGATTACGAATCTGAAATCCATTTTTGAAAATTCAAAATGGCGGATCCAATATGTCGGAGGGATTTTTTAAAAATTAATTCGATTGATTTGAAATGTCCTTTGCCCACATGGCCTTAAGAAAATATATTTCAAATAATTTAGAATCGTAGACATATATTTTTAAAATTTTAATAAAGTAGGACAAATTTCTAAAAAAAAAAAATTCTGACAACAATTCAATTTTAAAGTTTTTATTTGAAACTTTTTTAAATATGTTATTGAATTTTTAAAGAAATATTAAAATTATTTTAAAAAATTTAACTTTAGAAGAATTATACCTAGTTGAAATTTTTTAGAAATAATTAAATTTCAAAAGATTTTGTTAAATTTTAGACAATAATTAAATTTTACAGAATTGAAAATAATTTATCAAATAATTTTAGATAACATTTTTTAAAAGTAATTTTTTAATTTTCAAAGATTTACAATTCAAATTTTTGAAATTAATTGAACTTCAAGTGATTTTTAATTGAAATTTTTTCTGATGAAAAATTTAGTAGAAATTACAAAAAAAAAATTGAATTTCAAAACATTTTAATTGAAAAATTCTTTCAAATAATTGTATTTTTGAAGAATATTATAAAAAAATCACTGAAAATCATTAAATTTTGGTAAAGTTACAGTTGAAATTTTTAAAAATAATTGAATTCAAGTGATTTTGAATTGAAATTTTTTGATGATTTCTCAGGGTGGCCGCAAAATTTTATTTTCAAAATTTCCTGACTTTTCCCTGACTAATTTTTTATTCTCCCTGACTAAAAAACTTTTGAATTATTTAATATTCTGCATTGCTAACAATTTTAACAATTTTAACAAAGTAACAATTTTATTCATAAAGGAAAAGATAAGATAATTAAAAATTGTTTAATAACAAAAATTTTATTATAATTAAAATTTTTATTATAAAAAAAGTAAATACTTTGAAAAATGAAAAATCTGACGGCACCATTATAATGAGCTATATTACAAAAACGTCAAAATAAAAAAAACTGAATGGACAAAGTATCAAAGTTTTTTAATTTGTGGTTTCTTTTAATCAAAATTTCCTGACTTCTTCCTAACTTTTCCCCGATTTCCAGTTTTCCCTGACTTGCGGCCACCCTAAAAATTCTGTTGTTGAAGAATTTATTAAAAATTAAAGTCAAAAATTGAATTTTTTAATTTTTTAATTGAAAAATGCTTTCAGATAATTGAATTTTCAAAGAATATTATAAAAATCATTAAAAATAATTAAATTTCGGAAGAGTTTTAATTGAAATTATTAAATTTAAAAAAATATATAGGTAGGGTCAGTTGGGGTAAATCGAAACAGTAGTTGTTTCAGTTAAATAAAAAATTTTTAAAATAAATGGGCGAAATCACGTGAGATTTCCGTCGACCCATTAAATTCGGCCAAATATATTTTTTTCTTGTTCTGTAGTGAAAAAAAAGAGATACATTTTTTATTTATTTTTGAAAAATTTTCGAGTTATGAATTTTCAAAATTTCAGTTTCTTCAATATAGACCTATTTTCAATGGCTGATAACTCGAAAAAATGGATTTTTTCAATTTTTGATAAGAAAAGAAAAGTTTCAGTTTTTCTTTTACTCTTCAATAATGTTAACAAAAAAAAATTTTTTTTTACTTTTAATTAAAAAAATATCAATTTTTTATAAACAAATTAAGGTTTTTTTTAATTTGGATATATTTTTTTAATTTTTTTTTTTAAACATACCTGAAAATACTAAGAAGATTTTGCAAAAAAATTTAGAGTGGGCCGATAAGTTTTATAGGTTTAAATAAACATTAAAACACCGTGCGCGCAGCATTTTTCGCAGTTTTGAAAATTAAAAAAAAATGTAAAATTGTTAAAAATTATTTTCTTCATTTTTTTGGAACCTGAAATCATATTTCACTATGAAAAAAGAAAAAAAAATAATTTTTAACAATTTTACAATTTTTTTTAATTTTCAAAACTGCGAAAAATGCTGCGCGCGTGGTGTTTTAATGTTTATTTAAACCTATAAAACTTATCGGCCCACTCAAAATTTTTTTGCAAAATCTTCTTAGTATTTCCAAGTATGTTTAAAAAAAAAAAAAAAAATTAAAAAAATATTATATCCAAAAAATAAAAAAATACGTATCTCTTTTTTTTTAACTACAGAACAAGAAAAAAATTTATTTGGCCGAATTTAAAGGGTCGACGGAAATCTCACGTGATTTCGCCCATTTATTTTAAAAAAATTTTATTTAATTGAAATAACTACTGTTTCGATTTACCCCAACTGACCCTAATTGAATTTGTGAAAAATTTCATTAAAATTATTGAAAATAATTAATTTAGAGAAGATTTTTAGTTAAAAAATTTGTTAAATAATTGAACTATACTACTTATATACTACTTATTCTATACTACAAAAAGACGTATTTTGTTTTAAAATTTTGTAAAAAAGTTGTATTTTCAAAAAAAAAGTCAGAAAAAGTCGTATAGGGGTAAGCGGTACAGTTGTTGCCCCCCTCACAGTGATTGCCACCATTACATTACAAACAGAAATAATAACGAAATTTACATATAATATTTTGTTTTATTTATTTATATAAATTCTACAGAATATTCTGCTAATAGTGTAAAAAGATTTTTATTCTTCGACTCACTATTATGAAAATAATAGCGCTTTTCGAGAACAGTGTCCTTAGCTCTTTGAAATTTTGTCAATTTAGTTGTAAATTTGCAAGGTTAGTGGTGATACTTTCTTTGACTTTTTAACGAAAAAATTATACATATCATTATTATTTTTTAATTATATGCATGAAAATAAGTTTAATAATAAGTAAAAAAATTTGTTTTAACGTAATTTGACTCGATTTACAGAAAATTATAGAGAACAACTACTATCTTGCAATTAATAACAAATAACAGTCATTGCCCTCCCCGGGCAATGTTTAATTTTTGGTTATTATGTCATTTTTCAGTGATTAACCGTTTATTTTCAAGACTTTTTTGAGATAAGTATTTTTAATTTTTGGACGTTTTTTCATATTTGGTGAATTAATTTTTTAAAATAAAGATGTAATTAGAGCCGCAGCATGTATTAGAATGATTTGTAATATTTTATTAACAATTTTTTAATATGAAGTATGATTTTAGGCTATCGAAAAAATGCCGAAGGTAAAAAAAGGTGTTTCGTATATGCTTCTTTAAGCAATGAAAAACTTCAAAATCATGTAATCATTATATCAAATCAAAATAGCCAAAAATAATTTTTATTTTTACAATTGAGTCAGATTCGACAATTTTCCCAATTTTTTAGGTTAATAGTATTATTTACACTTAAAAGTCATATTTAATGAATCTTATTATTGTTAATAAAAGAAAATTATTTTAAAAATTACTTCTTCTTTATTAATTTCAAATTATATTTATTCTTTAATAAATTATGCAAAATTTATAATTTACATTAATATTTTATGTCTAGTGGGCAATCATTGTAAAATTGATGGTCAATCACTGTAAAAATAATGACAATCACTATTTTTTCTGTCATGTGAAGATTTTTGTATTTTTTTAAAATTTATACTAATATTAAATAAACAATTCATTATTATTTTCAGATTAATGGAATATTTTAATTCCTTTACAAATGGTTTCATTTCTCATTTTGATAATTAAACATTTGTAATTTGTATAAATATATCCCCTTTTTGCTTATACTGGCAATCACTGTACCGTTTACCCCTATTCCGAGGCCTAAAAAAGTCATAAGTGTAACTATTTTTTTTTAATATATTTTTTGATTTCATTGACTTTGGACTTTATGTCGAGATATCGTAACAATATATTAAAAATTTATTGTTTTACAAAATTAGCGTAATTGATATCATAGTAAAAGATGAAATTAATTGTATAAATACCTGAACAACATGTCGTTGCCCTCAAGAATAATTGGTTCATCAAGTTGATCTGTTTGATCAAATGACTCCTGATATTGCGTTCCATCGGAACATGGTTCTTCCGTTGATACAATTTGTGAAGTGTTTGTTACTAAATATTGACTAATATCTACCGATTGCTCTTGTACTTTGAAATGTTCCTGTTTATGTAATATAAACAATTGCAATGATGTAAATTGACATTTACACTTGCCACACTGAAATATATCCTCTTCATCTTGATCGATTACTAAGGAAAATAAATTATTTATTAAAGAATTTTCTCTAAAATTCAAATCGACGAATATTTAATATATACATATAAATATTCTAATACCTGATTGTTCAACTTGAGTAATAAGAGTTTGAGATTCTAATAAAGATTGTACTGTGGAATTATCCAGGCAAACACCTTTGAAATAATACAAAATTGTAATTAAATTATTTTTTTTTTTTAAATTCCAAATAAAATAATAATTAATTCTAGTGTATAACCTCAATTTTTTTTTAAAATTTTATCAAACTTTCTTACCTGTTAGTGCATCAAAAATAGAATTGGCCATGGCTATTTTGTCAAGTGGAACTTCATCTTATAATACAATTAAAGAATAATTGTAAAGAATCGTTTATAATTTTTTAATAAAAAAAAGTCTATAGATGAAAATAAATTAAAAACATTTAATCAAACAGCTGATTACACTGTGATCATCACTGAAGGCTATAGTGCGCAGAATCTCGATAGTTCGATTAGAAACGATTTCAAGATGTCATTTTGAATTTATTTTCAAAAAAAAAAAAAATTAAGATATATTTAGTGATATTAATAATTTTTAAATAAAATTAATAAACAATTAAAATAAAAAGAATTAATGACATTAATGACAGAATTTTTTAATTATTTTGTGGTTAAACTGTTTTTTTTTTGTTCGATATCGAGATATCGAAACACAATTGCTGACAACTTCTCTACTATACGCTAAAAATCTAACCTAAAAAATTGAAAATTGCTTGTGCACTGTGTGAATTATTATTGTGAATAAGTGTTTAATTATTAGAATATATATTATTTATAATTTTAAAAAATGGCAGCAGTATTTCGTGTTAAACGTAGAAATGAAGATGAGCCGATAGACGCTCTTTTAGTTGCATGTAAAAAGCGAAAAATCAGTTCTGATGCGACAAACGAAGAAACCGCTTCTATTTCAACAGTTGTTAAATTTGTAGGAACTGTCAAAGATCCGGTAAATATTTTACGTTTTTCTTATCTTTTTCACCTATTTTAATTGATTTATCATCTTTTCTACTCTTTTGTCATTAAAATTATGGAATTTCCTTGTAAATATTTTGAAATATTCATGAACGAAATATTTTTTTCAATCTATATAAATTATTAAAAATTATGATGTCAATGTAAAATAAAACAGTAAAAATTGAACAAATATTAAATTAAATAACTTCTTTTTAGATTGTTTACCCACTAAATTAATCTAAAAGTTTAACCGAAATATTAAATATTAATTTAAGAAATATTTTGTAAAATATCAAATAAATTATTTTGTAAGAATTTAGAAAATTAAAATTTTTCTTATATTTGAAATAATGTTTTCAAATATTTAGGATCAAAATGTGCTGGACCACATTACGAAAAAATTAACAAAAGAAGAATTAAAAACAAATTACAAGCAACACGTTGTCAATGTCGCCGATAAAATTCGCAAAGAAACAAGAGAATCGTCTGCAGAAAATAGATTTAAAGTTATTAATCGTTTTCGATCATTGAATAATTCTAAAACTGAAGACAGTGACGTTGAAGAGATTACTGTTATTGATGTTGAGGATACAAATTCATGTAAAGAGAAAGTGGAAAATCCTGACAACAAAGTAAATTTTTTTTTTTCCATTCTACTTGATTTTTATACGAAGCTGAAGTAGGCAACGTTTATGATAAAGAATTTTTAAAGAAATAATTTTTTAAAATGAAAAATTTTATAATTTTTTGCCTAAAAAATATTTTTTGTAGTTTTCACTTATCAGCAAATAATAATAAAATATTTGTTAGGCAAAAAATTATAGAATTTTTCGAGCGACTCCACGTTAAGTGATCGCATCGATTTTTCAGGCTATTTTGATAAATTTTTATAATATTGATAATTTGTGTTCCTTTAAGGGTCAAAAAAAGAAATCCTAAGTATTTTTAAAAAATTCAAAATATTTTTCAAAATATAGCACATTTAAATTTTTTGTAATTTTTTTTTTTTTGATTTATTATAACTTTCGTAATTTTTAACCAATCGGGATGAATTATTTTTAAAATACTCGTATTTAGATGGTCTTTCATAAAAAAAATTTTGAAAAAAAAAATTCAAAAATTTTAATTTTTATTAAAAAAAACAATTTTAATTGTTTAAATAATTCGAAAAGTATTTCCCAGAAAAAAATTATTTTGTTTTTGTAGCGCATGAAGTCATTGTAAACTATATGAGGCATTTCATATGAGAATACGGGGTCATGTCTCGGATTTTTCTCAAAATTCGGAAAGTTGTAGTGACAGTGGTGCTAAATAAGTGTACAAATTTTGAATTTGAAATTTTTAATATTTTTCGAAATATTTACAATAACAAATTTCGGCAATATTTTTTTAATTTACTTATAACTTTTTTCGTACTAAAAATAGAGAAAAATGTTGTAAATGTTTTTTACGCAAAAAACCTTAAACTTTTAGAAAAAAATTAATTTTTTACAAAAATATTAATTTTTAAACAATTTGTTAAAAAACTAAGAAAAGTTAATAAAAAATGAAATATTTTACGAACAAATAAAATTAGAGTAATTTTAAAAACACTATTAGAATGCTTATCAAAATCCGCATTCAACGAGCCCTATATGAACTATTTTGGATAAACGGGTGTTAAATTAATAATTAATAATAAAAATTATTTAAATAATTAATAACATTTGAAGAAATAAAGATAAATCGTCAATTCTTTTTTTATTTGGAACATCATCTAATTCTGTGTCAAAAAAAGAATATTAAGTATTACCAAAAATCAAAAATTAAATTATAAAATGTAATTTAGAAAAAGACTGAAAAATACCATTTAAATAATTTTTATTATTAATTATTAATTTAACATCCGTTTATCCAAAATAGTTCATATAGGGCTCGTTGGATGCGGATTTTGATGAGCATTCTAATGGTGTTTTTTAAAATTACTCTAATTTTATTTGTTCGTAAAATTTTATATTTTTTATTAACTTTTGTTAGTTAGTTAATTAATTAATATCTCGAAAACAAAAAATAAAGCTATCTCAAAAATTTAACAATCGATTTATTATGACTTAAACAATATTCATGATTTTTTTCGCGCTTCTAAATGAGAGAGAACATGTTTAAAAGTTAGAAACAAATTTTATTTTTTAAACAAATTGTTTAAAAATTAATATATTTTTAAAAAAATAATTTTTTTCTAAAAGTTTAAGATCTTCCGCGTAAAAAACATTTACAACATTTTTCTCTATTTTAAATAGGAAAAAAGTTATATGTAAAGCAAAAAAATATTGCTCAAATTTGTTATTGTAAATATCTCCAAAAATATTAAAAGTTTCAAATTCAAAATTTGTACACTTATTTAGCACCACTATCACTATAATGTACCAAATTTTAAGAAAAATCCGAGACATGACCCCGTATTCTCATATGAAATGCCTCATATAGTTTACAATGACTTCATGCGCTTCAAAAACTAAATAATTTTTTTCTCGGAAACTCTAAGACATACCATCTTTTTCAAGGTCTTAAATTTTTTAGGACATTGTAGAGAATGTTCATGAATTTTTTGAAAAAAATCGAAGATATACTTTTAGAATTATTTGAACAATTAATTTTTTTTTTAATAACAATTAAAATTTTTGAATTTTTTTTTTCATAATTTTTTTCATGAAAGAGCATCTAAATACGAGTCTTTTAAAAAAAATTCATCCCGATTGGTTAAAAATTACGGAAGTTATAATAAATCAAAAAAAAAAAATTACAAAAAATTTAAATGTGCAATACTTATTTTGAAAAATATTTTGAATTTTTAAAAAATTTTTTTTGACCCTTAAAGGAACACAAATTATCAATATTATAAAAATTTATCAAAATACCCTGAAAAATCGGTGCGATCACTAGACGTGGAGTCGCTCTTTCATTTTAAAAAATTATTTGTTTAAAAATCGTTTATCATAAACGTTGCGTACTTTAGCTTCATATTTTTATTTAGAAAAAGTATTTTAAAATTTTGATATAATGTTTTAATAAATTTTTTTTCTTGCAGGATAACTATGTGTACGATTTATATTATACAGTTGATGAGGTAGACGAAAATTCTATTGATTACATAGAGAAATTCAATGATCAATTAGTGTTTGATGCATACAGAGAAAATGGTGTATACGAATCTGATAATGATTCTGAAGATTCTAATGATGAGGGACATTGGAGAAATGATTATCCAGATTCAGATCATTCAGAAAATTCAATTGCCGAAGATGATATGAAATGTGCAGTCGATAGACTTAAAATTGAAGATGAAGAATCAGATTTGTCAAGTGATGACGAAGATTTTGCTTATGGTCTCGATAAACACGATGAAGATTATTTTGGCACAAAATATGCAAGATTTAAGGCACGCGTCAAATATGCACTTGATGATGAAGATGACGATGACGACGATGATGATGATGATGATGGTGATTATGTTTTAGATTCCAGTAAAAGTGATTCTGATTAATGGAAACTTTTTTCTTATGTTAAATGTTTACTTTATATGTTTAAAATTTTTTCGATATTTGTAAATAATTGAAAAGAAAAAGAGAGTAAAACTTTCTTAGTCGATTTAACCAGTTAAGGTTTGAAATTATATTTATAAAATATTACAGAGTAATTAATTATAGATTATATCTTTAAAATAGCAATAAAATAAATTATTTTTATGTTTAAAAATTGAAAAAGGCTTAATTATTCTTAAATTAGGGGGGTAAATAATGAATCACGTGAACCTTTAAAAAGAAAACTCAAAAAAAAAAAAATTAGTTTTACATTAAAGATTAATTAGTAAAAATTCTAAATAAATAAAACAATTGTTTTTTAAATGTCGCAGAATTTTATTTGTATATATTTATTACATATTTATATAGATATATCTTGTGTGTAAAAATTCATCTATCAAAATAAAAACAAAAGTAAGCCTAATCATTGAGTTTTTTTTTTTTTCGAAGAAAGAAATAACAGTCGCACAAGTCTTGAGAGAAACAGGAATTACCCGTTTGTAAATTTTGATTATTAAATATTTCTATTTTTATAGTCTAAAAAATTTTCAATAAATTCACAAGAAAATAAATTAATTTCCTGAGACATAATATCAAAATGTTTTGTTTTTTTTTCTAAATGACGCGACAAAAAAAAAATTTCCATTTCTCCCAAAATGGAATTTGGGGAAGAATTCGCGTTTTTCTTTTTCTTTAAACGAGACGATAACAATAAAAGTAGAAATGTAATTTACGGTAAGATGTTAGTACCTTTTTTTCATTATTGAATTCATAAAGTGAGTAAGTTGGTATCACAAATTTATGTATCGATACTGGCTCTCGTCGTAAAACCAATAAACTCATTTTTTTTTTGCACTTAGGAGAGAGAGAGAGAGAGAGAGAAAAAAAATATTCTATAAAAAGGCCGCAAAACATTACCGTAAAATCTTCTCGCGTAGAACAGTATACAGTTTTTTTTCTTTTTTTTTTAATATATATATATTTTTAATGATTCCATCGTATGATATGAGTACACTGCGTATACATGTAACACTGGCCTTAATTCTAATTTATACATTCGTGCGCTCGCCGAAATTAAAAAAAAACGCTCTCTTCCTTTCATTCGAATAAGAAAATTGTAATAAAAATTTTCTATATACAAAATATCAAAAACTATTCAAAAAAAAGAATAAAATCTATTCGAAGCTTCCTAGAATATAAATTGTTCCGAGAATTCGAAAAAATCAGATCAATAATTAACTCTCTTCTATTAATGAATTTAATTCATAAAATTTATTACTAAATATCTGACTAATAATTTAAAAAAATAATTTTTAGGTATTTTATCGGCGACACTTACTGCCAAAACTAAATAAAACATTTTGTAAATGTTTTTATAATTTTTTAAATTTACTTTTTTTAATTCACATAGATTAAAAAAAACGATTTTAGTAACAATTAATTTTTGTCCAAAAAAAAAAAAAAACTTTTGGCATATTGTACCTCTCAACTAGATTTTAAAAATCTGTAACAATTTTTAAACTTTTAAATATTTTGAAACGCAAGAATAATTTTTTTTTCTATAATTTAATAAAATTACAGAAATAAAAGAACGCTCATTTGAAAAATGTAAAGCGAGCGCACTTTTTTTTTATGGTTGCGGGCATGTAACTAGTCGTTATTACAATAATATATTAAATGTTATATTGCAATGTAACTTAACAGATTCACAAGCTGAGATTGGTATCATTCAGGATGTTCGCTAATTAATTCCTAATTCCTCTACTGTACAACATTTTACATTCATTCATTTTTTTTTATTTTTTTTTTTGTTTCCTTAGGTATGTCAAACTATTCTACGAGATTATTAAAGTCATGAGATTGCACACCCTCACTTGGGTCAATAATTCCGAGAAATTCGAGACTATTATTTGCTTTCGAATTTTCTTCGACAATTTTTTTATTCTTTCATTCTTTTTTGTTTTAAATCGCAAAAACACGAGATCATTGATGATAATCATCTCAGTACGATGTTTTATATTAATAATATGTACATATACATAAAGGCGAAAAACATTTTCAAAATGATTCTCTCTCTTTGACTTACAACATCTTTCGAGAAAAAAAAAAAAAAAGGAAGTCCACGTTGACCAAAAAGCCCTGACTTTCGAAACTTATGTTATATATTGCGTATATTTACAGGTTGGTATTTTTTGGACTTAAATTTAAGAACAATTCCCTGGATCAACGAAAATCACACTGTGTAATTAACTATAAGCCGATAGTCGATATCTATGTATAAACTGGCAACAATTAACAGTCCTATTTATGAATCTTCAAACTAAAGTCTCGCGTTTTTTCTTTCTATTTTTATATCTTTTTTGATAAATAAATTCACATTAATAATGAAACGGGAGACTTTAATTTGTATATATATAGTGAAAAAGAGAATCTCTGAACTTGAAAAATTTTCTCTCCAAGAAATAAATTAATAGAAAAACGAAATTGATTTTTTTTTATAAGTACCATATGCGATAATTGCAAAAAAAAAAATATCCTTAATTGCTATGTCGGTAAGATTATTCAGACAAGAATTTTTCCTGTCAAAAAAGAGGAGAAAATATAATCTAGAAAAAAGAATTAAGAAAAATAAATTAGTTTAATACTACTTCAGAGAAAATTTTTTTTTTCACTATATAGAAGAAAAGACTTTTGGCTATAAATTTATAGTACAGGAGCCTCTGCCCTGCCGGTTGGTGGCGTAGTGGTATGGCTGCTGGAATTATTATTGTTATTATTGTTATTGTTACTAGCCTCGCCGGTGTGGCTAGAGCAATAGAATTTTTTATGAGCGATAAAAGTGCTTAGATAGGTGAAGCTAATGTCACAGGATCGACAATATCGTGGTCCTGTTTTATTTGGATCGAGACTTTCCTCAGGTGGTGGTGTATCTTCACGTTCCTGTTTCACTTTTCCAGCTACATGCAAAGTTTGTGTTGCCGGTGGCTGCTGTGGTGAATTTGTTGTTGGCTGTGGACTACTTTTTCTCACTTCCGATTTTCCATTAACTTGAGTTTCAGCAGGAATTTCATCAGGTGTTACTGCCGGAGGTGGCTCAGGTGTTGGTGTTGTTGTGTCATCGTCCAAAACGCATGTTATGTAATTTTCCTCCTATAATTTTTACAAATTCATTAAAGTAAAGTTAAAAAAATTTTTGTTTTTTTTTGTCATTATTTCAATTTTTTTTTTAACTTAAATGAAAAGCTACTGATGGGAAATAGTTGTAGAATATGTTAAAAAATGTTTTCTTCCGGGAAAATTTAGGTTTTAATTTATGTTTAAAAATTTACTTAATTGAAGGCCTTGAATCAAATATCTTCTATTATATTATTAAGTTATCAAAATTCCCAAAAGCGACATCGACCCCATCACTGGAAAATTTATTTACACTTATTTTCAAATAAATCAAAATCTTTTGTTATTTTGTTATTATTTTTTACCGTTTCAACATATTTTTGCAATTTAACACTAAAAAACGGGTTATTTTGCAATTTTAAGGAATTTTTTTTCGAATTTTTGGACATATACCTATAAAATTGCTCTTCATTTGAAAAGTTACTTAAAACAATATTTTTTTAAAATACATTTTATTTTTGGATTTTTTTTAAAAATATGTTTTTACCAATTTTTTTAATGTTTTTTTTTTACAATTTATTGTTGTTTTGCAAATTTTTGTTTAGGAACCTAGAATATTGTATATCTAATTTTAAATGTCATTGAAATTAATTGTTTTCAACTGAAAAATGTTATCATTGCTGATTTCAAACTTAAACATCTTCTATTATATTAAATTAACAAATTTCCAATAATGTGATTTTTTTAAATATATCAATTGTCAGTTTATCCTTGAATAAAAATGATCAAAATCCAGATAATTTTTATACACGATCAAAATGTTAGAAACGTCATTCTGTTCATTCGAAAAAATAATTTTTCTGCTAATTTGTAATGCAAAAATTTTTTTTTTTGAAAAATAATAATTAGGAGTCAAATTTGAAAGAGAAAAATTTTTAAATTCACAAATGCAACTTATATGTGATTAAAATAAACAATTGTGTAAGACCGGAAAAAAAGAAATTCTTACAATTTTTGTAATCTTTAATAATTTAAATATATTTAAATAAATAATTAAATATTTAAATTTTTTAACCCAAAAATATTAAAAAATTATTATTTTTCAAAAACAAATTTTTTTTCTGAGAAATATTCAGAAATTATTATTTTATAATAACAAATTTTGTGCTGAATTCAAAAATAGGCTTTTTTTCTCAAAAATATTCAAAAATTATTATTTTTCAAAAATAAATATTGTGCTGAATTCAGCAAGTCCAGCTGATAATTCAGCACAAAATTTGTTTAATAATTTTTAAAAATATTTGTGTAAAAAAATATTTTTTTGAATTTTTAAATTGAATTATTTTTGAAAAATGTTTACTTTTCATAAATTTTTTTAATTGCTCTTTTTTGTGCTGGATTAGCACAATGCAGTATAAAATTTATTTTTGAAAAATAAAAAATTTGAATATTTCCAAATTTAGAAAAATCTATTTTTAGATTTTGAAATTGAATTGTTTTGAAAACTTTTGAATTTACCGAAAGTTTTACAGTTGATTCTTCTATGTGCTAGGCGAACACAATTCAGCGCTAAATTTGTTTTTTGAAAAATAATAATTTTTTTTTTTAATTGTAAAGTCGAATTATTTTGAATAATTTATTATTAAAGATTTAAAAAATTTGATGTAATAAATTCTTTTTCTTTTGGTCTTGAAAAACAAGACTTGATACCATACAATTTTAAAGAAAACGTCTAACTTAAAAATAATTTTTGAAAAATTATTCAAAACTTCAAATATTTATAGATTTAAAATTAACAATTTAAAATAATAATAGCTTCAAATTTTGGTACATAAAAATTAGTCATTCATTTTTTTTATTTTCAGTACGTAAAGTAATTAAATCTAAAATTCGAAAAATTCAAATGACCATTAAAAAAAAAAAATCGAGTTAACTATAACAAAACTTAACGAGGGTTTTGTTATTGAAAAGTTGTATTTTCAGAAAAAAAATTGTCCGGTGAGGTTTGATTTTTGGTGTCGTACAATGTAATTTGACTAATTTTAAAACGCGAACAAAAAAGAAAGAAAATGAAATGAAATTGTAACATAATATAAGATAGAATAGTGATAAAATTTTGAAAAATGATATCGAATTACACACCTGCAGATCTGTGCCACGTTTCTCAAAATGCATTCTGATATGTGTCCTCATGCCACGAAGGGTATTTCCTTTATATCGACAAATTGTACACCTAAATGCTTTAACACCTTGATGAGCATCCATATGTCGTTGAGCGGCTAAAGCTGTCGGACTCACTGCACCGCAAACTGGACATCGCCATCCACCTGTCGAACTGCTGGTACACGTATGAGTACTTCCTGATTCGATTATTGCCTAAAAAAATTTGTTAAATTAAACAAATGTTCAAATAATCTTCATAAAATAAAATCTTTCACCAACAAGCTTACTTTACATTTAAAAGCATTTTATTTAACATATAATTTGTTCTGTTTCAAAGCAAACATAAAGTTAAAAATATATTTTTCCAAATTATTTTGATATTTTTCAAAATATTTTTTAAATTAATTTTAATTTCGGTTCAACTTTTAGATTAAATCTAGATGATTTCATTTTAGAAAAAAATTTTGTTCCAATTTTTCTAAAAAGTAGATTGCAAAATAAAAATATAATCAAAAATACCTTGCATTTGTGACATCGTGTGTGATGTTCCTGAGATTCGGGCCTCTTAGGACAGTAGAACGCTTGATGAGCAGCAAGATTGTCCATTGAAGCAAATTTAATACCACAAGCGGCGCATATAAGCTGAACAAGAGGAGGTGAAGGCGTTCCAGGAGGTGGTGGACTGCTTATTGTACTTTCTCTTGCTTGACAATAATGTTTTTTGTGGGCCACAAAATTTTCGTGACGACAAAATACAATATTACACTCCTTACACCTAAGACAGAACATTTTTTTAAAAATAAATTAATTATTATAGGTACTCGTTAATTTACAATTTCGGATTTTTTTTTCATTATTACGCATAGTTACTCAAATTAATTAAGAATTTAATCTGTTTTTTCAAGTTTTTCAAGCCCATTTTTCAAAAAAAATTTAAAAGAAAAGTACTGGAGAATTTATTGACATTTCATGTTATTTGTTAATTTTTGAATAATATTTTTTTTCTATAATTAAAACCATTTGGTACAGACGTCAATTTTTTTTTATTTTCAAAATTACCAAAATGTTAAACATTTTTTCAGAAAAAATTTTATTTGGATGTTTCTTGAAATAAAAATATTAGACAAAATTTTTTGTGCAAACTCCATTGTATATAAACTAGATGATTATGTTCATAGTATGAATATTTTTGTTTTCTCAAAGAGTGAAAATAAACAAAATAAGTAATTCAGTCAATCGATTTTTTTAATATTTTGAATTTTTTTGAAATTTACTTTCGGCAATTTTCTACGTTTAAAATTTTTATATTTTTTCATCGAATAACATCTATTTTTTAAACGACCTGAAACTAATTTAAGAAAAAACAGAAAAAATAGTTGTAATCAACTTCATTACATTACTTTTTGGCACATTCATTAAAGCAAAAAAAAAAATAAAAATTTGAATTACTTAAAGAATAAAAATCACCATTAATTATAAAAATTTCTAATAAGATATTATATGTTTTAGAATTATGATTTGATGGTATCTTATATTCTACAGAATATTATATATTTTTCGAGAATATTAAATTGTTAAAATATTAATTTTGCGGAATTTTCATTAAACCGATTATCAATGTTGCAGAATTAATATTATTTAAACGAAAATTAATTTGCTCAAAATTAAATTTGATTCAATATCAATTTGTACGAAACATTGTCTCGTAGAATATTAATTTTGCAGAATTGTAATTTAAAAGAATTTTAATTTTGTAGACAGAAGATTAGAAAGAATGTTAATTTTGCAGAATATTTATTTGCTCGAATATTACCGTCTTGGTACTGAACGTAAAAATTGTAAATATTGATTTTAAAATACTATTTCCTTGAAACACGGAGACTTTTTACAAAATCGGCCTGAACACCAAGGATTTTTATCTTATAAATTTCCTAAATCCAAAAGATTGTGCGAATCCATACAAAAACGCGATTGCAAAACGGAAAGTAATATAATGACAGGTTCATTACGTTCTGCCGCCGTCAGATGGCAGAAGCATTCAGAGAGCATAAAGTCGCAGCCAAAGAATTTCACAGATCGTTCGACACTCTTAAATTAATTATTTTAATAAGATTATCTTACCTGGAGACACCTTGTTTAACGAGAACTCCGGGAGCTGGTGGTGGTGGTAAATCAGTCAATCTAAGCGCAAGTTCAGTGGTGGGCGTTGAAACAACAGCGTTTGTATTTTGATTTGTCGAAATGGTTCTTGATCGTGGACTACCGCTACCACGGGATCTGGGACTTCCCGGTGGTGGCGGTAGGGATGTGGGCGCTGGTGAAACTCTATTCTCCTTTTCGTCCTGATGTACAGGCGAACGCCTGATACTGAGATCGAGTGGTGCTGAGGCGGGAGCCGAGGGTGACGTTGAGGTAGAGCCAATAGAAGACGGTGTCGATGGTTTATTTGCAGCGCGAAGCACCGATGGAGCTTCGGTGATGGTATTTTGAGTCGTTGAAATACCCCTTGTCATTGGTTGCAACGATCCATTTGGCAACAGGAAGCATGCAGTGTCGGGAGCAGGAAGAGCGGGTGCTGCAAGAACACTGGCACCGCGGAACAGCGAATAAGGAACAATGAGAATTGGATTTGTCGGTAGCGCTAGACACGGTTGAGGTGGAGGCGAATCACCAGGACTCGAACTCGTTGGCGGTGATGCTTTCACTGATGCTGGAGCAGGCTGTGCATCTTTTACCACGTGTCTTGTGTTACAATAATGTGCCTTGTGGGCGCGATACGTTTTCAACGAACTAAACCTGTTAATTTTAAAACGATAATTAAAATTGGTGATAAATAATTTTCAGGCCTCGGATCGACTTTAAGGTGTAAAAAAAAAAAATCGTTCGAGTCGATTTAAATTCCAAAAAGAAGTCGAAAAAATCGATTTTTTTATTTTAATTAAATTTAATTAATTAATAAATATTTTACTTTAAAAAACTAATGTTATTAGATATTAAATTTTCATTTTATTAATTCCTTAATAAGAATAATTTTATAAGAATATTATCAAGAAAATTTATTTCGAATATTTTAGAATCGAACTAAGACAACTTTTCAAAATTTTAAGGACAAAGTTCTAAAAAAATTTTTTGAAGTTCCATTTTTCAAATTTTCGAAGTATAATTTAAGCAGTTTATTCAAATTAAAAATTTTGGCATAGTTTTTAGTTTATATGGTTTAAAAAATTTCGGACAATATTTAAGTTTTACAGATTTTTAAATTAAATTATTTTAAAATAATTGAATTGTAGAAGATTTTAAATTTGAAATAAATTTTTCCAAATTTAAATTGCTGTAGTTTTTTTTTTAAATTTCTGAAAACAATTCAGTTTTAGAGTTTTCAATAAAAATTTTCTTAAATAATTGAATTTTTAAAGAAATATTAAAATTATTAAAAATAATTCAATTTTTAAAGAGTTACCACTTGAAATTTTTAGAAATAGTTGAATTTCAAAAAATTTTGTTAAATTTCAGACAATAATTAAAATTTACAGAATGGAAAATAATTCATCAAATAATTTTAGATAACTTTTTTTTTTAATATAATTAAATTTTCGAAGATTTACAATTCAGATTTTTGAAAATAATTGAACTTCAAGTGATTTTTAATTGAAATTTTTGGTGATTTATGTTGATGAAGAATTTATTAGAAATTAGTGATAAAAATTGAGTTTCAAATGTTTTTAAAATTGAAAAATACTTGTAGATAATTGAATTTTTGAAGAATATTATAAAAATAAATAAAAATAATTGAATTTTGTTTTTTGAAAATAATTGAATTTCAAGTGATTTTTGATTGAAATTTTTGTTAATTTCTGTTGCTGAAGAATTTATTAAAAAATTCTAGAGAAAAATTGAACTTTAAAAGTTTGTAATTAAAAAATTCTTTCTGGTAATTGAATTTCGAAAGAGTTGAAATTATTAAATTTTAGAAAGTTTTACATGGAAAATTTTATAAATAATTAAATTTTATGAGGTTTTAAATTGAAATTTTCGAAAATAATTGAATTTCAAATAATTTTGAATTTAATTTTTTTGGTGATTTCTGTGGCTGATTTTTTTTTTAAATTTTAAATCATTATTGAAATTCATAAAATTTTTAATTGAAAAATAGTTGAAGATAATTGTATTTATGAAGAATTTTAAAAATTTAAAAAAAGTCGAAAAGTCGCATCTTATTAAGGGGATGGAACAGTGAAATTTTAACCTTTCAAAATTTACGTTGTCTATTTACATCAATTTTTTTTTGTGACATTATTTAGGGTCTAAAATTATTCTAAATTATTGAAATATGAAAAAAAAAATTTGTGTCAATTTTAGAATTTGTATTTTTTAAGAAAATTGAAAATTTTAAAAACCCATACAACTGATTGTTCATAACCATAAAATGTAAAAAATAAAAGATATGAGCCAAAAGTTCTAAACGTTCAAATAAACGAAATATTTTTTTCAATCTATAAATTTTTAAAAATTATGATGGCAATGTAAAATGAAACAGTAAATTAAATAACTTCTTTTTAGATATTTAAAACAATATTTTTGAATAAAATTCGTACTTAAAGAAGTTGCAAAAAAAAAATTCAAAACTTTTGGCTCATAAATAAATTGCCGACGAAAAGTACTAGTTGCTAGAATTTTTCAGGTAAAAAATTATTTCTTCAAAAATCGTTTATGATAAATGTTGCGTACTTCAGCATCGTGAAATTGGAAGAATTTCAATTCGAGGCCTGCTTTACGTGATTTTTAGGAATTTTTATGAATAAAAAATGTTCTGTTTTTTATAGATAAAAAAAAAAGATATACCTGATGTCGCAATTTCGGCAGTATCTCTCTGCCTCCTCATTCAACGATCCATTGGCAACGGGAGTGACAGATCCAGAATTTCCCACGGGAGTAGTTGGAGCAGGTGGTACTGAAGGTGTTACAGGTGAAGCCGCATGCATCCTCATGTGACGATTGAGAGAAACTTTTTTGTCAGCACTGTATGAACAATGTGGACAAGCGTATGCCTTACGAACGTCAAATTTGCCACTTTTTTCATCATCCTCGTCATTATTTGCATTGTCTTCCTCGAGACGTGGTCGATGAGCACAATAAAATGTCTGATGAGCCTCCAAAGTACTCGCTGAACTAAATCTAATTCCGCATGGAGGACAAATTAATGGCGCTGGTCTTGCCGGTTCTAATGTTATCGTTTCCTTGCCATCCGTTGGCAATACAAAAAGTCGTCCCGAGGCTATCGCTATAAAAATAAAAAAGAAATTATTCAATCTCACGAAATTATCTTTTTTTATTTATGTACACAAAGGACTTTGAAGTTTTAATTATTTACCTATACATAAATTATTTTTTTTTCCGGTTCAAGAAATTTTTTATAAACAATTGAATATTTCATCAGCTAGTTGATTAATTCAGTTTTTTATTATCGCGCATGTACGAAGTCCATTGCATTTCTTCATTTCGATAAGAAATTTGATTATCAGGGCGAATTGTTTATAATTTTTCTTTTATTATGATTTCAAATTTAAAGAGAAAATAGTGTGAGAAAGAAAAAATTGTTTATTTACCATTTTGAAGTCCAACGGGAAGTGGTGGGGTTTGATTTGGAGGTGAAATATTTTCGGGTTTGATTGTGAGAGCGGCAACGGTGGCTGGCCGCAATGCAGGATCCGTTGCCAGACTAGTATTCAGTCTCAATCTTGGTGTGACTTCATCATCTAATCTTGCTTTTTTCGTGTCACAAGATGTATCGTCTGATCGTCGTGAATCCTCGGAATCTCTTCTAGCATCTCTTCGGCGTGTCGATGATGATGATGAGGATGATGGTCGGCCACAATCTTCCGAATCTTTGATAACCATATTCGAGTCCTCGTCAATGTCGAGACGCGTTGCTTTTGGACTCGATTCATGTGTTGATGGTGTTGTTTTTGTCGACGAATGCCTTTCCCTCGATCCTCTTGATGCCTGCAAAAGTTATCATTTATATCAACAAAAATATAATAATTATTTTCTATTTCAGAGTTGTCGTAAGAATAAATTTTACCATGACAAAAAAAAATTATTATAATTTATTATAATTTTAATTAATTTAATGAATTATAATTGAAATCTAATAATCTGAAGTTAAAAAAAAAATTATTTACTGAAAATAGATAACAAAAAGGTGATAATAAAATAATAGTTAAAACCAATTAACGTACAAAATAACTAATTTCATTCATCAAAATTTAAAATTTGGGTAAATTGAAACTTAAATCAATAAATATTTGTATAAATTTAAAATCGGATTATTTGGTTAATTTAAAAAATAAATCAATTAAATTTTTGAAAAATTTGAATTCAGGTGATTTGAAATTTAAATCAATTAAAATTTGGATAATTTTAAACATAAATCATCAATCATAATTTGGGAAAATTGAAATTCCGATAATCTTAAACTTGAATCAATTAAAATTTGGGTAAATTGAATTTTGGATAAAGTGAAACTTAAATAAAAAAAAAAAATTAAGGAAAGTTGAATTTTGGATAAATTAAAAATTAAATCAATCAAAATTTGGATAAATTGAAATTCGAATAATCTTAAACTCAAATCAATTAAAATGTAGATAATTTAAATCATTTAAAATTTATTTATTATAATTTAAATAATTCTAAACTTAGATAAATCATAATTTGAAGAAATTAAAATTCGGATAATTTTAAACTTTAATCAATTAAAATTTTGGATAAATTGATCATTTGAAATTTAAATCAATTATATTTTGGAAAAATTTAAATTCGGGGTAATTTGAAACATACGTCAATAAAAATTTGAATAACTTAAATCAATTAATATTTGGATTATTTAAAATACGGTAAATTTGAAACTTAAAACAATTTAAAATTAGATAATTAAAAATCAATTAAAATTTATATATTATAATTTAGATAATTTTAAACATAAATCAATAATAATTTGGACAAATTTAAATACGAATAATTTTAAATTTAATTCAATTAAAATTTGGATAAATTGAAATTCGTATAATTTGAAACCTATAATTTAATCGAAATTTGTATAAATCGAAATTCGTATAATATAAAATTTAGATGAATTAAAATTCGGTTAATTTTAAATGAATCAATTAAAATTTGGACCGATTGAAATTTTCATAATTTAAAATTAAATAAAATCAATTTATAATTTGAATAAATTAAAATTCAAATAATTTAATTTTTAGCTGCAGTTGAAATTTTGTTAATTTTAAATTTCAAATTAATTGAATTTGCTTTTAATTAATAATTTTATTTTTGTCAATAAAAATAAAAAAATTATTGAAAATTTTATCACATAAAATTAAAAATTAAAATTGAGATTAAATTGAAATTTTGATTGATTAAATTTTGAATCGAATAATTAATAAAATTTAAACAAATTGAAATTTAAATAAAATAAATAAATTTCCTTAATTAAATTTTGGATTGATTGAATTGATTAGAAATTAAAAAGAGCTTAAATTTACATCGATTAAAATTTTAATCAATAAATGTTTCAACTAATTAACATTTAAATTTATTGAAATTTTTCCTAAATAATTTTTAAATCGATAAACATTTTTTGATTAATTTAAATTTAGGTCAATTTAATTATTTATACGAAAACACGAAAATTTTCAAATTTTGTGTCCTATTAATATAATTCAGAAATGGTGAAATTATTTTTTTAAACTAAAATTATTTTCAACATTCCTGAGTTTAAATAAATGTTGTGAATTTAATTATTTTTGAAATATTACATCCACAAATTAATCAATCAATTAATTAATAAATTTATCAATACAAATGAAATTCAAATAAAAAAAATATAATAAAAGAATGACGATTTTATTTGAAAAAATCGTTAATTTTTGAAAAATAAGAACAAATAGGAGAAAAGAGGAGATTTTTGACAATTTCCAAAAGTTATCTTTGAAGTAACTTGAGAAGTTTCAGACAATTTGAGAGAACTAATGACAGATAGTATCGTCCCAAGAAGAAAATTGGCTCTAGAGTAGTTTTTATCTGATTATAGAGCTACGAGATGCGTATCAACTGAGCCAAGATAATTTTCTATGGAGCATTGTCAAGCTACGAGACATCTGTTTCCTGTGATTTGAAATACCTCCAAAGATTCTTATCAGACCACGAAGATTAGAAAACTTAACACAAGATTTTAGTTGCAGATAAAATTTTAAACATTTCGTTTTGAGAAACCTAAATAACGAAAATTTCGATTCACACAAGATACATATATTTATAAATTTAAAAACAGAAACATAAATTTTCATTTTGAACAAAAATTACACTTTAATGATACATTTTAGAAAAAAATTTCTTTTTTTTTTTCAAATAATACAAATATTTAAATAAAATAAATTTCTTATAATTTAGAATTTTAGAAAAGAAATTTCTTTTTCTTGGAATATAAAATGTTGTCATTTTGTGAATTCTTCAATTGAAAATCGTTTAGGAAATTTTTTTTTCGAAATTAATTTTCGGGAGGAAAAAAACGAACTTTTTTAAAAAAAAAAAAAAAAGAAATCTTTTTATTTACCTCAATATCCTCGGTGAGACTAGAGAGTCGTTTTCTCGCATCTTCGGAGAGTACATTAAATCGTAACCGGATGTCCTCGGCAACGGAATTCGGAGTTATCACAGGTAAGACGGAGTTGAGTCTTGGTGGAGGTGGTAAACTTGATTCCTCATCAACAGCTGGTGCTGAAGGACTCGAGACTGCTGATCCTCCTCCTTCGACTCCGCTACTCACGGACGGTGTCTTCTCCGAGTCACTCCACTCCTCATCTTCCCCTAAAGAATTAATAACAATTACTTTTCATTGTAAAAAAAATCACAATTACACAAAATTTGTAAATTACTAAATTTACTTTTCAACTAAAAATTTAACAAAAAAAAAAAATAAAATACTTTTTATACGAAAATGACGTTCAAGAAATGATGGACTGTGAAGAGGAATTTGCAAATCAATTTCACTGGAGACAACCATAATTACAGAAATTCTCCTTCCTCACAAGGAAGAGAATAATTTTTTTCACATACACTTTTTTTTTTTTTTTTTTTGAAGTAAAAAAATTTCTATAACACTATAATATTGAGAAATACAGAGGGAAAAACGACGTGTTTCTGACGCTGGCTTCGTCCCTAATGGCACCGACAGCAAAAGCTAAACCATGCGTATTTCCCCCACCCTTTCAATCCCTATCTTTGAGTTCCCCTTCGTCACCCTGGTCACCCAACATTCAGCTTATCTTTCCATCTATCTCTTCTTCCCTCCTCCTTCCCTCTTCATCGTTCTCGATTCCCCGCTGGCATGGGTCCTTTAAAACCCCTTTGCGCGTTTCTCACACCACATGCGCAAACGATATTCTCATTCCAATATTTGTATATATATATGTATTTGTTATAACGAGCTTTGGAACTGAGAGATAGAGAGAAAGAGTCAAATCTCCATCGGATTATTATCTATGGGGGATTTAAATATATATATTTCACTGAAAATATTATAAAGATTAAGAATATTCTTGAAGGACAGTTTTGCCAATGTGTACGGTGAAGAGATCTAATCTTCCAGGATATTCGATTCTCTGAATTGACTGTCCTTGAAAAGTTGAATCAATAAAAAAATGATTGCGATTTTTATCGATATTTAATTTTTGAATATAGGTCCAATATCTTCAAAAAAAAAAAAAATTTACCAATTTCAGCCACAATTATTATTTGACTCTTATTCTAAATTTCATTGCCCAGTTATATTTTATCGATATTTAATTTATGAATTTTTTTTTTAATATTTCAAAAATTAAATATCGATAAAATAAAACCGCTCAATGAAATTTTTTCTCAAACCTTATTTCTTTTATTCTGATTATATTGATTGTGATTTATTTGAATATGCTAGTCTTTTTTGGGACGCATTAATTTTCCATAAAAATCATTAACTAGAATTCTTATTTATTTATTATTAGTATTTTATTTTATTAAAATTTTATTTTTTTAAAAATGAAATTGTAAATATAAGTATTTTAAAATATATTAGCGTTGAAAGTTTTTTATAAAAATTAAATTAAGTACTAAAAATTAATTTGAAGTTAAAAAATATTTAAAAATATCTCAATGCCAGAAGAAAACGATTTTTATTGGTTACTCGATCATGACGTCACATCGGTACATTGTCGCGCATCGTCTGCTTTATGAATTATGATTCACAATTAAATGCAGCTTTGATAAAATATATTCTAAATCATTTATAGTTTTTAATGTTATGAAAATTAAATAATTGGTACCTAAATGTTTGAGTGAGAAATTAAATTTTAATTGACTGATGACTGAGGACATCTGAGTGTTATACAGAAATTAATAAATAGATAGAATTGAGTAGAGTGAGTGAGATAGGAAAAATAGTCATGACAATATATGTAAGAAATATTCAAATTATCATTTAGAAATATAATAGACGCGAAACGAAACAGTGTTTCAAAATTTTAAACTTATTAATTATTGTAATTATGTTGAGTGATTTTCAATATTATTAAAGTTGCTTTGTTTAGAATAATTATGAACATTATTTATTTATATTATTTTTATCATCATCCTACGCAATAAGAGAAACATTTATTATTAATAACAAAATTGACTTATTCGCGTAACACTAAATTATTCCTGTGATAATAAGTGAAATGCCTTGTAAATTGGAACCAGGATTTTCAAAATAAATCTTTAAAGTTTTTCATTTCAATTTTTTAATTTTAAGGTTATGTTCATAACTTTATTTTATTTGTATTTGTGATGTTTGTTTGCATCTACATGTGACAAAATAGAATTTAAAATTTTTTCAATAAAAATACTTTCATTAAAGTGATCTTGAAAACAGTAAAAATTTGACTTTATTTGATAGCACATCCTCACGTTTTGCAATTAGAAATCACTGTCTCCTGACATTTTCATTTTGTGGCCACAGGAGAAAACAATTTTTCAGGTGTTTTAATTGCAGTACTATTACACAGTGACACAAAACACGTTTTATATTTATTTCCCTGCATATCGAAATTATTTACAGAGTTTTTATTTAATTTTGCGTTTATTTTTCACTAAAAAATTATAAGCAAAAAAAATTTGTTATATAAATCCAACCCGATCTACCCACTAAAATTAAAAAAAATTTTTTTTGATAAACACACCGTATTATTTTTTAGACGAATTAGCAATATTCAAATTAAAATTTAACAGATTATCTTTTTATAAGAATTTTTAACCTAACAAAATTTTTAGCTACCGAATTTTTGTTTTGGCAGAATTTTTAGTTTATAGTCATTTAATTTACATGACTTTTTATTTAATAGAATTTTAATTTAAGCGAATTTTTATTTAACAGAATTCTCATTCAATCGAATTTTATATGTAATTTGAATTTTTAAATAACAAAAATTCCAATTCACGGAATTTTAATTTGTTCGAATTTTTAATTGATAAAATTTTTAAGACATCAAATTTTCATTTGACCGAAATTACAAATAACCGAACAAACAATCGAGAGAAAGATTTCGGCGCAATTTTTAAAATTATTACCAATTAGAAATTACTATAAGAAAATCGTGATTGGTCAATTTTCAAAAATTGCACACAAATCTTTCTGTCGATTGTTTGTTTGGACATTTGTTATTTCAGACAAATGTAAATTCGGCGTTTTAAAAATTCTATCAATTAAAAATTTGTATACAAATAAAAATTCGGACAAATTGAAATACGGTGAATTGGAATTTCTATAATTTAAAAATTCAAATCCCATAAAATTCAATTCAATGAGAATTCTGATAAATTAAAATTCTTTAAATAAAAATTCATGTAAATTAAATGACTATAAAATAAAAATTTTGCCAAAACAAAAATTCGATAGCTAAAAATTTTGTTAGGGTAAAAATTCTTATAAAAAGAAAATCTGTCAAATTTTAATTTGAATACTGCAAATACGTCGAAAAAAAAATAATTTTTAATTAAATACTTGAAAATAAAAATTCTATTTAATGATTTTTATGGGAAATTAATGCGCCTCCTTAATATTCAGTATTATTATTAAGCGTTATCAATTTCGTCAATTTTGTAAAAATTTTTATGAAATATTTTGTAACAAGTTCTGTAACTTTCGCAAAAAGATTGGGTTGAATTGATAAGTTCAATCATATTTTATGATTTTTGAGATTTTTTGAAATTTATTTTCAAAACTATAGTAAAGTTCTTATCTAAACTTAAAATTTTCAAATTTAACACGAATTTTTCTTGAAATTAATCTAAGAGAATCTAAATTTAAAGATTTTCAAAATAATTTGTAAAAAAAACAATGAAAAATAAAAATTAGATTTTTCCTTTTTATTTTAACTTAATTCTGAAAGAAAATAATCATTTTTTCAACAAAAAAAAATTTATTTTTAAAAATTTTCGTTGTAAAAGTAGACTTTTTCAAAAAAATTCCAAGAACGATAATAAAATTATATATTAAAACTAGATTTTTCCTATTAATCTAACTTTTAAGCCTATTGAAAAATAATAATTTCAGGAAAATTAATTTCTAAAAATTTTCATTGTGAAAATATTTTTCAAAAATTTGCATAAACGATAAAAAAATTATTAAAACTATTTTTTTTACTGTTATTTTAACTTAATTCTAATCGAAAATAATAATTTTATCAAAAAATGAATTGATTTTTAAAAATTTTCGTTGCCAAAGTCGACTTTTCAAAAAATTCGCAAAAACCATAAAAAATTATTAAATTTAGATTTAAGTTAATTTTAAAAGAAAATAATAATTTTAGTAAAATTGATTGATTTTAAAAAATTTTCAGCTTCAATAAATAGTTTCATTACTTTTGGATAAAAAAAATCTTAAATGTCAAAAAACTTTAATTTTTCAAAAAGTCTGATTTCTATACACCTATTATTTTTTATCATGAAGTTTTTGATAATAAAGAAAAAAAATTTTTTCCTTTGCATAAAAAATTTATACTTCAAAGAGTTAAAGTTCAATTATTTGCTTTTTTTACAGTTGTACTTCAAGTTGAACTATATTTATATACGTTTGAAATAGTTCCTTGAAAGTTGAAGATTGAAATTCAAATCTTTAATCTTGGAAGCGCGTTCCACAACGTGAACTTTAAGCCATTGAGAACATGAAACTTTAAAGCTCCAACAAACAATATTTCTAGTTATCTTAAATCTTCGACCTATTTTCAAAAGGAAAAACAAATATGTACGTCTAAAATGAATTTTCATTTGTCTCAAGTTCAGACTATCAAGTAAAGTTTCTTTTTCAATTTAGATCTTTTGCTCATGTAAAATCGAAACAGATGACTTCTCTAAGTCACGCCATTCAACTTCTCAACTTCCGCTGGGGATAAATAGCTTCTATATTGTTTTATTTCTCTATACATTGCGGGAATGCATCGATTATTTAATAATAATTGATATACCATTTTATCACTTAATTATTAATTTTATCATTTCACTCGTTTATATTTGTAGAAAATAATAAATAAATAAATGTAAAGTGAAAGTAAAGCTTACTCTATAACGAAAATAGAATTCACTCTCTGAAAAGTGAAAATTATTTCAGAGTAAACGTTATTTTAAATATAATACAGAATTTACTCAAAGAAGAGATTATTTTTTTCACTGTATAGAAAAAGGGATTTAGATTGTCTCACTTTTGGAGTTGAATTTAGAACTTTAAAAATGTTGCTATTCACTCCCCAATTTTTCAAAATTGTTCAAATTTTACTACAAGGAAGAGTACTCTAGAACAAGTTGAATCGTCACTCACTCCAAGAAAAGAAAAATTTATTCTCTCTAGAGAGTGAAATAAATTTTACTTCAAACACACTGTAAAAACTTTGTGGAGTTAATAGCAAAAAAAGTTGGGAGTACAAAGTTTGAAGTTAAAAATCAACTCCAAAAGTGAGTTAACATTAGATTTTTTCACATTGTAAACTGTAAAAAAGCCTTTAACACTCAACGGAAATCTATAAAAGTCCCACTCTTTTGGAATTGAAGCAAAGGGAGTTGATGCTAAAGAAGTTAATTTTATTCCTAGGGAGTTAATCTAATATTAACTCACTTTTGGAGTTGAT